AATACATTCTCAGAAAATTACTATTCCAAAACTCATTTTTCAAAAAAAAAAAACTCTTTGATGGAAGACAAACAGAGGCTTGATGTCAAATCGACACCTGATCAAGGATTCGAGACCAAAAGTTTTGTGCTCAATAATAGTTATGAGTATAGAGCTTATAAAACTGCACACTTTCATAATCTCTCTCAAACAAAGAAGGCTAGTTAGTTTGATCATAGATAAAATTTCGTCACATCGTATTAGTATTTAAACATAATAAATAGAAGAAAATATTAAGTTCATTTATTTTTAAAAATGGTAAAATGATAATAGGGCATTTATTTGTACATGCATAAGAATTTTAAAATATAAAGTTCATTTTTTTATTTTATTTTTTATTTTATCTTTACCCTATATTCTACATCAAAGTCAGACTGCTTTAATTACTTCCAATTTTATAAATGAATTTTTTTTGATAAATGATCAAATGTGAAGACAAAGAGTATCCCAAATGGGGCCTCTGAGTGTGACTATATGATTGATATATGCACTTATTAATAAACTTTTGGTCTATAATTTATAATGGATAATTGGAACCATAATGGAGTGCTCTTTCATCAATCCTTTCCCATCATTGTCATGACCTAATTGTTTAGTTAATAATTGGGAAAATTGCACAGTTGGTGCCCAATATAATACGTGTATAACAAGTCCCTTACATTTAAATAAGAGCATTTTGATCCTCAGTCTTGAATTGTCGAACAAGTAGTTCAAATAGATGGTTCGTGTCCAAGTAGCTATCGAATTAGCACGTGGCTCTCACATGTCTACTTCTTTGAACGTAAAATGTACAGATGCTTAATTTCAACTAAAAAAAATTGAAAAGATTTTTTTTTTTTTTTTGGGGGGCTCTTTTTTAATAGTAACATGAAAAAAAACCATTTAATAATAATGAAATGTTAAAGACCATAATGATCCGCTTTCAAAGTTGACGACGATTGAGAATGAAATACATTCTCGCAATAGTTATCCAAATAAAAACAAACAAAATCTTTGAGTTAAGAGATGAGAAATAAAATTTGACTCCAAACAAACTCTATCGTTACAAATCAAAAATATATTTTTATCAATTCAAATATAACTCTTTTATCGATAAATTGGACCTCTTACAATCCTTCAAAAATTATATACAAGTACACTCACGAATTCCTCCCTTTTCGACTATACAAGTACACTCTCAAATATCCTATTCCCATCGAGTACTAACCTAAACATCGACGGGGTCAATTTTCTATCATAACGATGATCTTGACACACATGCCATATATTGGGACCCATCATATAATTTTTCCAAATTATTATTATATCTTATTTGGAATCATCACTCAATCTTTTATTTTATTTGTATTGGCCAGCTAATTAAAGGGTTTTTTGTTATCATTTACCCCAAGCAGAATCTTCAATACAGAATATCATTTCCTTCATTTCTCTGGTATTCATCAGTTCATCAAATAGTAAGAGTGATTTTGGGATTTTGACTAATGGGGGACTCGATTGGTCCAAGGTTGTACAGCTGCTACAAATGTCGAAACCATATAGCTCTTCATGATGATATTATTTCAAAAGGTTTTCAGGTGAATATTTTCCTTTTTCCGATCATTTCGCGTCATTCACAACTGATGATTTATTCTTGTAGGTCGTAAGTTCACGTATTTTGCTGATTTTAACAGTCGAAAAATGGGAGAGCCTATCTTTTTACGCACGCGAGAAATTTATTTGAAGGGCCGAAAGCCGACCGGCAGCTGATCACCGGTCTGCACACGGTGGCCGACGTGCACTGCGCCGATTGCCGAGAGGTTTTGGGATGGACGTACAAGAAGGCATACGAGGAATCCCAGAAGTACAAGGAAGGAAAAGTTGTGCTTGAAAAGTTTAAGATTGTGAAGGAGAATTGGTAGCACCTATTGCTTTTTCATAGCCCAAAAAATCCTGTTTATTTGTGTTGTGCAGAGAATATCATGAAGTTCAAACTGGTCTAAATTTACTGTGAACTGTAAATAAAATTTGTCAATAATGATTTGTTCTGTTAATAAATTTGTGGGTTAAGTAAATTTAGATGTTTTCATTTTTTTTCTTTTTTGTTTCGATTGAAAGATCGATTTTTGCTTTATATTAGAAATATAGATATAATATTGTTCAATCTTATTCACTTTTATATCGTACATTAACTTGTGTCTCGGTCTTTGTTAAGATAAAGAAACGAGAAACATCAAAGGGAGCAAATATTGATTTTGTTACTCATAGAATGTTGACTCCTATTTTTACGAAACTCTTAAGTCAATAATTTGATATAATATAAGATCAAATAATGCCTTTAATTTGACGTAGTAAAGGTAACAGATGTTGTCTCTTGAAAAAAAGTATAGCAGATCTATTTTTTTCTATAGGGAAAAAAGGACCAAATAAAATCAATTTAAATCAAATTAAGTACTCAAAATCTAATGAAAAAATAGAATTTCGTACCTCATCTAGGCTTTTAAATATGAGTAATGTTATTTACAGTCATTTACTATTGTAGTTGTCGTACGTGACATATATGCGACGATTAATAATTTGATGCGATTGAGATAACACCTCAAGTAGTTATCTTTAAACGTAGGAGTAAATGCATACTTTAGCTATGTAATATTTAAGGAAATGGGCATGGTCTTGTCACAATCAACTAAGGGCCTGTTTGATTTAGACGATTTTTCATAGAAATTGGAAATAAAATTCCATCTTCTTCAAAAAGTGTTGTTTGATAACCAAAATTTGTCATGGAAATCATTTTTTTGGTTTGTCTAACACACTTATCATTTCCTTGGTTTTTCAGGTTATTGTTGTTGTTGTTATTATTATTATTATTATTTATTTTTTTGGTAATAAAAATAAATTTTATGGACAATTGTA